AGAAAAAAGAAAAGAACTCTCTAAGCTAAAAACCCGAAAAGGGCGCTTAGGCAAAAATTAGAGTACAAATACAAAACTAGAGAGAAGAAAGCCCATTAAGTTGAAAACCCGAAAGGAGCAACTTAGGCAAAAGTTAGGGCAAATAAAAAGGAATAAAAAGGAAAAAAAGCTCGTTAAGCTGAAAACCTGAAAGAATGGCCTAAGTAAAAATTAGAGCATATGAGATTGACTATGGGTATATATATCTGAAGAATGGGTGGGTTCTCCATCAAACCAAGATCAGTGTCAAAATTCCGAGATGACTCTCCTAGCCGAGCCAAAGAGAGAATAACTAGAAATGGAGCACAGTCACTCCATGCTTGATCTATAAATTGGAAAAAGGCCTGATAATACAATGATCATCAATGCCAATCAGTGCAAAGCACTGGCTCATGATGTAGGAGGAGATAAGTGGGAACCAAGATGGTCATAATGATCATAGCCTTGTGCCCACTTTCATTATGGCAACGACGACAAAATGCCTACTCTCGATTCCTCTAATGGGATATCAGAAAAGGAGTCTCGAGCAAAGAAATGAAGTGGGATCAATATCCAACCAAGGCACTGTGATTATCTCATAATTGACCTTCTATCCAAAATAATAATGAACTCCTCATTCAATGTATCAAATTATTCTCAAAGTCCCTATGAAATAAAAGACTAAATACAGACCACAAAGGTCTAAATTTATCATTAGGGGTCATTGAAATCTTCCTCGAGCCAAATACTCCTGACAGCTCAACTATTCATGTCTCTAACTTAGCCAGACACCACGACCAGAACGAGCCTGTTAGTCCCTAAAATGGCAACCCATGCAAGCTCACTGCATTATAAGATTTTGCATTAGCTTTGCATATCATAGATGCATATCATACATAATTTTCTTTATGGTGTTTTTATTTTAAAACTTACAAGATTAGGGGCATCCTCAATAATCACTTCCTTAATTATCACCCTTGCTGCTTTATACAGCTAACCTGGCTCCTAAAGTCTTATACTCGAACTTGTGAAAATAGTGGGTTTACAACACAGTAGTTTCAAAGTAAACACTGAGGCAAAGCCCACATTAAGAGACAATAGAAGAATAAATTGGGATAAAGCCCACAACAAGACACAACAGAAGAATAAACCGGAGCAGAGCCTGCAATAAGAAGCAATTCAAAATAAGTTGGGCCAAAGCCTACAATGAGAAGCAATTTAGAATAAACCAGGGCAAGCCCAAAACAAGAGGTAATTGAAGAATAAAATGGGGGAAGCTCACAGCAAGAGGCAGTTGAAGAATAAACTAGGGTAAAGCCCATAAAAAGAGGAAATCATATATCAAACAGGGGCAAAGCCCAATAAAAAGAAGTTTCAAAAATAAACAATACCCTGGAGGTACGGGCCGAATTGCCTCCATCGTTGGAGTCATATAGGTCATCGAGTGGAGAAGCTTCTCCTAATATTGGACCTTGAGTAAAGACCTCATAGGCACCGACTCCACAGCTAGCCAAGAAATAAAAGTGAAGCCTATAAGTTTTTTCAATCTGTGGGTATAAGCTTTATGGGTTTGTTGGACCCAGTTTGGGGATTTTCGACTTAACAGTTGCGACTCAACTCTCATGCTTAGCTGGCAACCATCAATAGCTCGCTACCTAAGCAAGGGCAACACATTGTTGGCCACAGGTAAGTTGCCTCATTTTGCGTGCCACAACACAATTTCCAATAAATTCATATAAACTCACATAGACACACACGAATTCACAAATTCATGCAAGTTCATACATTTTTATGCAAAATCACGTGTCACACATAAACGCTGTTACGAGCCTAATCACGAAATTCCTAACTCTAACCATCAGCCAAAGGCATGTTTTCCTATCAGAAAATTTGTTTTCATAGGTACCTCCTAAACCAGAGCATTCTAGAATTAAAGTCCCCCCGGGCAATTAAAGTCCCCTAAGGCAACTAAAGCTGTCCCAAGTGGCGCACCTAAGCCTTCCCAAGTGACGCACCCACACCGTCCCAAGTGGCACATCCAAAGTCCTTCAAAGAAGGCACCGTCCAAAGGACGGCCTCCTACAGTGGAGCATTTTATCATAGCCACTGTTTGGAGCAGATAACCGCAGAAGCCGCCTATAACCACCATGGCTCATCTCCTCTACACTTCATGTCCATAGTGACAACCTCCCATAGTGGAGCATTTCAAAACTAAAGTACTTGTGGCGCCCAAAGCCCTTCAAAGAAGGCATCGTCCAAAGGACAACCTCCCTTATTGAGCATTTTATCAAAGCCGCCATTTGGTAGAGATAGTCGCAGAAGCCGTCGACAACCACCATGGCACACCTGCTCCACCATCCATCGTCCAGAAACAACCTCCCCAGTGGAGCATTTTAGAATTAAAGTCCCATGTGGCACCCAAAGCCATTCAAAGAAGGCACCGTGCAAAGAATGACCTCCCATAGCGGAGTATTTTATCAAAGCCGTCGTTTGGTGCAGATAGTCGTAGAAGCCGCCGATAACCACCATGGCGCATCTCTTTTGCCCTTCACTATCCAAAGGACAACCTCCCTTAGTGGAGCATTTCAGAACTAAAATTCGTCATGACACCAACAACCCTTTAAAAAAAGCACCATCCAAAGGACAACCTTCCACTGTAAAGCATTTCAACAAAGTCGCAAAGTGGCGCATATAGCCGCATAATTTTAGTTACAATAGCACCCTAATTGTAAATTGTATCTAATATAATGAATAAAATATTATTTTCATGGGACCCACACTATTTCTAAGAATAAGGTTAATCAAATACTCATCATTTAGCACCCAAATTTAATCTTTTTTCCTTTACCAGACTTCTTTCCCACCATCACCATTGCTTATAAATAAGTACCCTGAACTGTAATTTTATTTAAAATAACACCCTAAATGTAAATTATATCCAATTTAATGATTAAAATATTATTTTCTTGAGACCCACAGTATTTTTGAAAATTAGGTTAGACCAAATACTCATCATTTAATAGCCAAAATTTAATCTTTTTTGCTAAATTACGAACTTTAATTTTAGTTACAGTAGTACCCTAATTGTAAATTGTATCCAATTTAATGAATAAAATACTATTTTCGTGGTACCCACACTATTTCTGAGAATTAGGTTAACTCATCATTTAACACCCAAATTTAATATTTTCCCCTAAATCAGACTTATTTTCCACTGCCACCATTGCGTATAAATAAGTACCTGGAACTTCAAGTTTGGTTACAATAGCATCCTAATTGTAACTTGTATCCAATGTAATGAACAAAATATTATTTTTGTGGGACCCACACTATTTTTTTGAAAATCAAGTTAACCAAACACTCATTGTTAATACCCTAATTTAATATTTTTCCCTAAATCAAACTTCTTTCCCACCGTAACCATTGCTTATAAAATAAGTATCCTGATATTCAATTTTAGTTGTAATAGTACCCTAATTGTAAGTTGTACCCAATTTAATAAACAAATATTATTTTTGTGAGTCCTACACTATTTCTGAGGATCTGGTTAACCAAATACTCATTATTTAATCCCCTAATTTAATCTTTTTCCCTAAATCAGACTTCTTTCCTACCACCACCATTGCTTATAAATAGGTAAATATTTATATTTATTTATATAAATATTAAAATAAAAATAATATATTCATTTCCAACGGAGAGATTTTGACGATGAGAGAGAGTATAAACCTAATGAAAATAATATTTTATTCATTAAAATGTGTATAATTTTAAATTAGGGTGCTATTGTGACTAAAATTGAAATTTAAGGTACTCGGAAAAGAAAGTAGGATTTAGGCTACATAAAGTTTGAAATTTTTTTAAATGATTTAGCCAATTTAGTGATAGATTCATGTACAACCTATTAATAAATTTAAATTCTAATCTCTCTTCAATACTAAAAACAAAATTTTTGTTGTTTCAATACAATTCATTCATATATCTATATGAATTATAGTTTGCTATACATTTTTAATGATATGAATATTTTAAAAATTATGTAAATATATTTATAATGATTAAAATTAATTAATCCAAAAACTTATTTGTTTAATTGAAAGATTTTGTATCACTAGAAAATACTCTCTTAAAGATTTGCAGTATTCTTGTAAATAGTTTTAGAAAGGTATTTTTATGATAAATATTTAATTGCTCTCAAAAAATAAATCGTTTACGGTAATTATTTTGACTCAAAATATAAAACTTTTTGATTTTTTTTCAATTTTACACTTTATTATTAGATATAATAATTATTTTCACAAGTTATTAATTTTATGATAAAAAATAATTTAATCAAATTATTTTTATTTTATAATTTAAAAAATTAATTGTTTACTTCTATTGAAAAATCAAGGACTTAAATTTTAGATTGAGGGAATAGTTAATAAACCTTATTTTATTAGGCTGAATGCATAAATTGACCCTTGAATTTTGCATTTTTAATTTTGTGGCATTCTGAACTTTGTGAATGATCCACTGTACACTTAAACTTGTAAATTTTGATAATATTACACACTTTTCAGCATCAATATCAATAATTTTTAAGATTTTTGAATTTTATCTGTAAAATATGAACTTGATAGGTAGTTAACATGACTTTTAGAATAATAATTTTCATAAATTTCAACTTTTCAATAAGTATTTAAATGATTTAATTTTACAAGTTGAAGTATTTAATAAAATAATTTTAAAAATTAAAGTATTTAATAAGCGTAGTTTTATAAGTTGAAGTATTTAATTGGTCAAAATAAAAATTAAGAGTGATGATAGGTTAAATTAATAAAGTCATGGAGAATTTATATATTCAGTCGATTTCATGGGCAGAATAGTCAAAGCACTGATATTGTAACAGTAATAATAATATTCCAATCTACTGTTCGAATATCAAAACTACACAACGTGTGATTCTATAAGATTTGGAAGTAGGAGCTGTATTTTTCCAAAGTCAAAGTCTTCTTTGCATTTCTAAACGTGACGAAATATAAAGAATTAGAAATACTACCACCAAACAGTCTAGACGAGAGAAATTTTCTCCCTCATTTATGATTAATCATTCGAGTTCGTCTTTTGGAGCATTTCAGGAGTACAGCTTTGTGTTAGAATGATGAAATAAATATTGGGTTTGCTCTAGCTTCATTAATTTTTATGTTTGTTGGTTAGTTTTCTGTTAAGGTATTTGGATTCGTTTAAGGATTGATGATTTATTCGATTTCAAAGTCTGACTTGATTGTTTTTAAGGATGCAGCTGGAGTCGCCGGTATTTTCTCTCTCAATAACTCCTGTTTTCTCTTCTTATGTTTGTCATTTTTGTTTTCTTGTATAAATTGAAAACACCCATTCTCCTTTTCGACTTCTTTTTTTTTTGGTATCCTAATTAGTGGCTAATTGTTTCTTTAAAAGTGAAAAATCCATGATTGTATTTGAGTTCTGAGTCATGATAACGCTTTTGGGTTCTCTTGGAAATTGAAAGAGGATATTAGTTGTTAAAAGAAAAGAAACGATGAACATACCCACTTTCTGTCTTTAAATGGACATTGTATTTTAGTAGTTTACCAATTTGAATTATGAGATATTTTCAATAGAATTTTTTTATTGATTTTTTTGTTGACTAAAAGTGTCTATATTTATTGTCTCTAAAACTGTGATTCAGTTTCATAATGATGTGCAAAAGCTCGTAAAAGATTTAGATTTAGAATTCTGGAAAGCACAGTAATTTATGATCAGCCATAATTTGGTTATCATACTGCAAAGTTGGTCTCATTTTCTTAAGCAAAATAATTTTGCAATATTCATTAGTTTATGCAATTACCCATTTTTGCTTGTTACAAAAGATGTCTTTTTGGTTTCATTGCAAAAAAAAAAAAAAAAAAAAGTTATACAAATGCCTGATTGTTGAGAATGCTTCACCAAAAAAATTTAATTCAGCAAGCAATTGAGCAGGAGTAATCATGTAAGGCTTTGTTTTGTTCTTAGTATTGGAATATAATGAAATGTAATCAAATGTTTGAACTAAAATACATTTCATTTCTAATGCATCTCACTTCATTACAGCATAACAAAGATGGCCTAAATGTGATGGTATTCCATAAGTTGGAATAACTTGCCAAATTCCACGACAATTCAGGAATGCATTTTCATATGTGGACGAAATATTTGATGTTCATAATAACGAACTTGGTTGTAGGCAACTGCTTGATGCCAAAATAGTTCAGAACCAAGGGGGTCATTTGAATGAATTTAAGGCAGACAAGGTCTGATTTTAAATTGGCTGTGTATTGATTGCTATTTGTATCTATCTGTGCAGTGGCTCCACTTATTCTCTTGTTTTTCATGTATAAAAGCAATAGTTGGATAAATATTGATAAAAATTTACTGCATGGAGTGAATGCTGATTGCCACGTGAGAATCAGATATGGGCAATCGTTTTCCTTTGCTCTATCTAACACTAAATCCTTGTTTGTCGTTGTAGGGAACATATTTGCTTTAGGGCTGTTTCTGTCACCCATGTAAGTAGCTCTTTTTTTTTTTTTTTTTTTTTTTTTTTTTTTTTTTTTTGCTTTAGGGCGTTTCTGTCACCCCATGTAAGTAGGCCTCTTTTTTTTTTTTTTTTTTTTTTTTTTTTTTTTTTTTTTTTTAAACTTCATTTCCTATATGATAAGACTTATCATGGAAAAATTGTATATAATTCATCACCTTACATAGCTTCTCTTCTTTGTTTTTTTTTTTTTTTTTTTTTTTTTTTTTTTTTTTTTTTAAACTTATTTCCTATATGATAAGACTTATCATGGAAAAATTGTTATAATTCATCACCTTACTAGCTTCTCTTCTTTGTTCCTCAAATTTAGATCCACATTTAAGAGAATTATCAGGAACCGATCAACAGAACAATTCTCAGTGTCACCATATATATATGCACTCTTGAACTGTTTGATCTGCTCATGGTATGGCAGCCCTTTCATATCCACTGATAATGTAATGGTTATGACAGTCAATTCAACTGGTGCAGTTTTTCAATTAGTGTATATAATCCTCTTCATAGTATATGCTGAGAAAGCCATAAAGGTCACTTATCTCTTCAAATTTGCATTTCTACATTGTGCACTAATTTAGATCCCCTTTTGTATTGGCTTAAATGTCATTCACTTTCATGTTTGATGTTACCTGCAGGTAACGGTGTTTGGATTGCTGCTGGCAGTTTTCGTCCTATTTGCAGCCACAGTTGTAGGGAGCTTGCAAATTGCTGATGGAAACATAAGACGGCTCTCTATTGGGCTCTTGAGTGGTGTATCTCTCATTTCAATGTTTGCTTCTCCATTGTTTATCATTGTAAGTAAATGAAAAGATTAGTTTTGCTATATCCTTTTGATACACTGTTTCAAAACATGCATAATTTCTAATGACTTGCCATTTATCTAATACATGTTTTCAGAATTTGGTGATCCGAACAAAGAGTGTTCAGTTTATGCCATTTTATCTCTCCCTTTCAACTTTCTTGATGAGTACCTCATTCTTGCTTTATGGAATCCTGAATTATGATGCCTTCATATATGTAAGCTTTCTCTAGCATATTCACTTGCAACCCATATGCTTTCATTTAATTTGATGTGCATGCATTTATGGTGACCCTTATTACATAACTTGATTTGAGTGTATTAAAATTTTCTAGCAATATGTGTATGTTTTTGTGTGGACTTGAATTATTGAATGGATGAATTTATCCCAAACTAAAATATTTTGGACGCTGACCTGACTGGAAATCCTGCATGAGCTTTCTGGTAGTAGAGGAGAGTATTTGCAGGTTGCTTAAGCAACTGCTGACCTAATTCAGCATAACTTAAGGAGAATTCTACTTATTTCAGATTAAGAGTTGCAGAGCTTAAATATATCTATTATTGTTCATGAGGTTTATGTTGTATTCTACTGTTTTACATGATCTATTATGTTGGTAGTACTCTAGTAGGTACTGAGAGATTCTTTTTTTAGTTTGTTCATCTAATGATTTATTATTGAATTTCTACTCTTTTAACCTGTAGACATAGGCTAAATTCTGAATCACATTCTGATTTTTTTTCCTTATTTAAATTTTGATTCCGCAGACTCTTGCAAATTACTGTTCTATTGAAACATATGCTTCTGTTTCTACCATATATGCATAATATGTATACTGACCCACATACAAATATGATATTCTTGTTTGAATTTCAGGTCCCAAACGGCATAGGAAGTATTTTGGGAATCACACAATTGGTGTTATACTGTCACTATAAAGGGCAATCAACAGATGACTCCAGAGAATCCTTGATAGAGTCATATGCATAAGTAGGCAAAGTGTTGCCTTAATTCAATCGTTCTATTGTCAAATTGTGTTAGTGTGAAAATTTATGCACTACTTGGCATGGAAAATTTATTTTGTTATAGGAATGACATTGCATACTGGTTTGCTTGGTTTCTTGGCTCATTGGACATCGAAATCTTAATCTCAGTAAATGGTCACTTTACCAGCAGAGCGCTCGACCGCCCGACCTTTTCTGCTTATTTGAAAGTAGGAAATCCTTTTATCTAAGTATAAGCTTAAGATTGTCTTTCATTCTATTTCAGTACTGTTTCTTGCACTACAAATAATTTTGCGGTAAATGACCAATGTGACACCTTAGTCGTACTCTTCAGGCTTGTGCTTATATTTGTCTGTACGACTCGCACTTGGACATAATTTATTATATTTGTTATGTGCTAGAATTTTAATCAGGATGCATGGATTTTTTTATTTTCAAGACATGCCTAAGTTTGGTTTTCGTCATTTACATTTTCCTTAAATTATCATTGACATCATGCACAAACTACATTCCACACTAGAATGGAAGTTTGGATTGTCTTTAATCTGATTTAACTGTAGAGAACAAGTGCAGCATGTGCTTTGTATGGGGGATTTACAAGTTTTCAGCAACAATTTCCAGCTTTCGTGGATACGTATCTAGAAGACTAAGTCCTTTGTCCAAAAATGCTAACTCTTAATGTTTTAATGTCATAATCTTAGAGGCCTTTTGCCTTCTTGAGACTCACTTAGGATGTTTTGCAGACTCAGAATTGAGTCTTAAAATGTCTTGAAATTCAATAAGAATGACCTATATAAACATAATTATAAGAAGTTGGATGATGAATTGCTAGGCAAAACACATCTGGAAGCTGCTCGTTTAAAGTCCTATTATTTTTTGTGACATTAAAGATTTATCTAACCATAAATCCTAATAACATTCAAGTCAATGTTTTAGAAACCAGACTGGAACAATTGGTCTGCTTTTTACCAAATCCATGAGCAGTAATTAAAAATATAAAAAGTAAATTTTTAACCATTTAAATTGAGTGGAAAAAGTGGTTTTAGCAGAATGGCATTTTTTAAGTTCATGGTTCAAAATTTTGAAATTCATAATTTTTTTCCTCCAAAACTTATAATAAATTAAATATAAGTCTAGAAATTATAAATAAATAGTCGAAATTCTTCTTTAAATATACTTTAATATAATTCTAATTTTAAAAATAGTATTAGTTAAAGCCTTAGACAATAAGCATTAGTTAAATTTTTTTTACAATAAGTTAAGAGCCAGAGAATAAAATACAATAATAACAAAGATATATAAAAATAAAACAGACAACTGTCATAAATAAATGGACACAAAAATAAAGTTAAGATGACCAATTTAAAATAAAAAAATATTAAAAAAATTTAAATATAGATATAAATAATCATTTCAAATAAGTAATAATTTTAAATTTTAAATTTTAAATTTTAAAAAAAAGTGTCTTAGATCCAATAAAAAAAAGAAAAAAAATTCAGAATTCAAAATTGAAATATAGATATAGATAATTATTGTAAATGAATATTAATTTTAAAATATAATTATTAGATATAATGTTTTTAACATTTAGATAATAAAAATTAAATAAATGATAAGAATATCATTTTAAATATAAATAGTAAGGTATTTAAATTTATTTTTAATTTATTAAATGTATTTATTTTTTTAAATTTATTAGATGTTATCATATAAATTTCTTTGTTATTTTGAATGTATTTATTAAATTTAATATTTTTTTAGTGTGTAAAGTTCAAAGGAACTTCAATGTATTAGGCCAATAATAAATGTGCATTATAGGTGGTAAATCATTCATAGAAATCCTCTTCTCAAGACCTATTTTCGAAAGAAAAGGGCACATGGCAATGTGGCTGAGTTAGCTACATCAGAATATTTGAGGACTGAAATAGTCAAGCTAGATGTGGCCACTCTCCTGGACTGTTACATCCCATGACCAGCATATTGCAGCACCACTTTTCCCATTAATTTTCTAAATCTGAACAAGTATTTCTTTAATGTTTGTAAATAATATCAACAGATATTGCTATAAGTACCTGTTGGATGTTTATTTGTTTTCTCATTACTAGCATTTGAATATTCAGTTTGTAACATGAGCTTTGTCCTCTCCATATAGACAACTTTATTGAAATGTAGGTGTTGAGATTCTTACATTAAGTTATTTCAATAAAATTTCCTTCCATATCAGTCTTCCATATTTCCTAAATTTCTGATCTCTATCATTTTTGGTAAAAGAGCAGGTTGATCCAAAAATGGTGAACACTCGATCTTTCATTCCCCAAACTCAATCTGTTAACCCCACTTCCTCCACCAACCTATTATATACCCCAAAAAACCTTAACAACACAAACACAGACCCCCAAGCGCTGCAACTTTTGGTCATTAGTGCCAAACTTGATGTTATTGATACCTTGGCGGCTGAAGAGTAGGTTGATCTAGAAATGGTGAACACTCGATCTTTCGTTCCCCAATCCCAATCTGTTAACCCCACTTCCTCCACCAACCCATCACATACCCCAAAAAACCCTAACAACACAAACACAGACACCACTTCCTCCACCAACCTATTATTATACCCCAAAAAACCTTAACAACACAAACACAACCCCCATAGCGCTGCAACTCTGGTCATTAGTGCCCAAACTTGATTGTTATTTGATACCTTGCGCGTGCCAAACTTGATGTTATTGATACCTTGGCGGCTGAAGAGTAGGTTGATCTAGAAATGGTGAACACTCGATCTTTCGTTCCCCAATCCCAATCTGTTAACCCCACTTCCTCCACCAACCCATCACATACCCCAAAAAACCCTAACAACACAAACACAGACACCCTACGCTGCAACTTTCGGCCATTAGTGCCAAACTTGATGTTATTGAAATTGTGACATCTCATTGAATCGAGTCGTTGCATTTAGCGAGTTGAGTCGAGTTGGAACGAACCAAAACCCGGTTTGAGCCATTAGATTTCAAAGTGGGGTAGAATGAGATTTAAATTAAATAAATAAAAGAATTTGACTTAATTGAATGAAACATAAAGATGTAGAAATAAAAGATATAAGGATTAGGACCTTAATTGAAATAAAGTATAAAGTTTAGGTATTAAAATGTAAAAGATTGAAAATTTAGTACTATTTGGTAATTTTTGGAACTTACTAGAAGATATATTTAGAGGTTACCCGAAAATATCCATTCACTTTACCTTTCTCCATCTTCTCCTTGTCTTCTTCCTTTCACTTTACCTTTCTCCATCTATCCTCCTAAAAATCTTCCTCCATTTTCTACCTTTAAATATTCAACCTTTTTCAAGGCATTAAATTCAACCTTATAAACTTCTATCCAAGTAAGTTGAAATTTCTTGAATTTCATTAATTTAGTGAGATTTTGGATGATTAATAAGATGTTATGTATGTATAGGAGAGGTGAGCTCAAAGGTGAGAGAAAAAGGAAGCTAAGAAAGAAGGTTTAAATCTTGGTTTGGAAGGTTTGATTATCTGTGTTTAGTTTAACCAAATTTTCTTGCGATGAGAAATATGTGTAGTGTGATGATAGTCATTAAGGATATATATGTTGCTGAATGTTGAGTAATAGGTTTGAGAATGTTGATTAAGCATGAGATGCATTGAATAAATGAATTGGATATTGATTTCATGCTGAAACAGATTTGTTGGAAAACTGACCAATAACTTCAACCTGAATTTGAACCTATTTACCGATGGAATTAAGAAGTGGTATAGAAGAGTTATTTGTTCCTTTATGTTTTAGCTATCTATAAGCTTTGGAATCACCTAAATTGGACTTAGAAATTGAAAGATATGCCCAAAATAGTACAAACTGTGCAGGCTGGAAATCAAAATCTGGGTGGACTGGAAGGAAGGTGCTACTTTAGCTCAATATTTGACTACTCTACCAACATATTTCAGAGAGGTCATAGAAAGAAATATTTGTATCCTAATGTGTTAGCTAACCATAGAATTTAGAATCACCTAAATTGGCCTTATAAATTGAGAGATATGACCAAAATAGTACAAACTGTGCAGACCAAAATAGTACAAACTGTGCAGGCTGGAAACCAACAGCTGGGGTATTTGACTTTACTTTACCAACATATTTTAAAGACCGTGATAAAGAACATATTGTACCCCAATTGTGTTAGCGAACCATAGAATTTAAAATCCACCTAAATTGGCCTTATAAAATTGAGATTTATGACCAAAAATGGTTAACAAACTGTGCAGGCTGGAAACCAACAGCTGGGGCAGACTGGAAAGTTTGTACTTTAATTCCAATATTTGACTACTTTTAATTCAATATTTGACTACTTTACCAACATATTTCAAAGAGGTGATAGAAGACATAATTGTAACCTAATGTGTTAGCTAACCATAGAATTTAGAATGACCTAAATTGGACTTAAAAAGACAGAGTTATGCTAGAATTTGTGAAACATGTACAGGCTGCCCCGACAGATTTTAAGGCTACATTAGAAATGATGTTGGCATGCATATGTAGATTCATTCAGCCTAAGATTAGTACTTAAATTAAAATAAAAATTTCTTTAATCTGAATGGTCTAAATTAAGTTACATAAAGAGTAGTAAGAGTTGCGTCACGGGTGCAACAGTTAGATTAATTTCATGCAAGTTCCATTACAAGTTATCAATTGTTTGCATTATTACTCATTCGATATTACTTGTAGTTGTCTATGAAATAAGAATCCATTCGATATTACTTGTAGTTGTCTATGAAATCCTTTTAAAGCATGAAACAGGTTAGCGATGTATAGAATGAGACAACATATAGGTAAACAGTATGATTGATGCATTTTATGAATATTTCCGATAATATGCTCCACTGAGGTTAGGTAGAAACCACGTAGATAAAGCTATATCGGGACATAGGATAGCAGATCTGCATCCCATACAGTTGGTACTCAGGCTACAGGCCGTTGAGTTGATATGATTTATATACGGGTCATAGCAGCCCAGCCATATAGCATTCATCCAGTTCATACAGTCCTTCTTATCACTTCGGTTTCACTGTAACCTTATGGAGCCATACATTTATGAGATTGTGTTATTTATAAATTATACGATGTTAATAAAAATTGCTTAATTCATACAGCATAATAAACAGCAGGGAAGACAACGAAAGTATAATGATATGTGTGCGTACATGCTTATTTATTTAATTCTTATTAAGTTGAGATATCCACTGAGCTTTATTTACTCAGCAAGTTACCTGTTTTAACTTGCAGGTTTTGGGTATGGACAGTAGAGAGTCATCTTTTCAACTGCTGCAGTTCATCTTTTGAAGACCCAATCTTCAGGGTAACTATTCATTTTGATATTTTGGTTCTGTGGCATGTACAGGGCACA